TTGAGACTCGTCAACATACGCTTCGCATTACTTATCTAGACCGGATGTGTATGCAACAGGATGAGAACGGCGAATTCTGGAAGGAAGACGCCCGTAAACATTTTCCATCCTTGAGAAATGTGCGCTCGTGTGAGGAGGAGGCCGCTCGTGCTCCTCGATGCGAGGGCTCTTTCTATCGTGAATGTCGGATTGCCCTCAAGCGACTCTTACGGGCGAAGGATGGCCTCTCCGACGTCCGGCCGTTGTCTCGTAAGGCATTATATCAGGTGTTAGTTAGGGGGAACGCTCGAGATGATTTGATAGGCGAGCTCGGTCTGACGAAGCGGGAGGCTCGCTGCATTTGGCCTTGGGCGCCCGGGTTGAAGTGTCTCACTAATCCCGAGGCATCGCTCACCTGGCTGGTGATTCGAGGAGCCCTCTGGGTCGCCAAAGACTTCGCTCAGCGGGTTTGGCTAAGTCGCCAAACTGCGTTCGCTGCAGTGGGGAGGTGGAGACCATAGGTCACGCCTTCTTTCATTGTAGTGTCGTAGCTCCGCTGTGCAAGTTTATTGAAGATATCATGGTTCGCATGCTGCGTGGAAAGTTTTTTGTCCTCGAGGCCAGTTCCGTCTGTAGCAATATAGTACCACCGTTGACTAAGGCTGAGCACTATGTGTTCCTGTGCTTACTGGGTGTTATGCGAGTCGTGATATGGACGACGCGACAGAAGGAATTTCATGGGCGCGAGAAGTTTCCTCTTCCCAACTGATCTTGTTCTTTAAGCATCAGCTTAAAGTCAAGATCAGGACAGAAAAACGACTCCATCCATTGGAATTTGGCGAAAGGTGGGTGAGTCTTGCGCGTCTCTGCAGAGTGAAAGGTGCTGACTTGGAGTGGCATTTTGATGCCGGTTAGGCATTAAAATTTTGGGATCGCTGGGGTGAACATTGGCTACCCTCCCTTGTATAGGTTAGTTTAGGTCAGTTTTGTTTTAGTTAGTTTTCTTCTTTTTTGTTAACTTAGCTAGGGTGTGTATGCTCATTGGCCCCTTTTTTTTTTTTCTGGCCCTATTTTTTTTCCTTTGTTTAATTCCCCATCCCTCCCATCGTTAGGTGGTTAGGGTATCAGTTCTCTGGTGGGTGCAGGTCGCCTTTCGTTTCGAGTATGTCTTTCGTATTGGTTGTTGTGTTTGATTGAGTGCGTGTTTGTAGTGAGTGCATGGATGGTATGAATGTTTTATATTAACTGTTTTAAGTCCCGCATTGTTTTCGTCCAGTTAACTGATGTCTCTGCCACAGTTAGGGCTGTGGGGGGTTTTACTACTAACAAAAAATTTTTGTTTAGTTTCTTGTATATAGTTTTGTATTCATTGTAAATATTCATTGGAGTTTTTTAGATTGTTATTTTATTCCCCTCCCCCCACAGACACATGTGTTGTATATATGGGGACTAGTTAGAACTCCATAGAGACTCTGAGGCATTTTGGTGGATGTAGTAAGAATGGTACGTAATGGATGTGTTGTTTTGGTGAAAGGAACATTGTTTGTATGTTTGGGTCAGTGATTGTGGCTAGCTAAGTTTAAAGTTAAGACAAGAGATGACCAGCCTTTTCCCCCTTTCCCCATTTCGGCCTTGTGCCAAATTTGTACTTTGTACAATAAATATCTTTATGTTGTCTCCGCTTAACTAAATATTTTACACGTCTTGTTCCTCTATTTTTACCGTGTCGTGTTGATTTTCTATTTGTTTGCATTCTTCTGTGACCATTTGCAGACTGATCTTTGGATTTTGTTCTAATTTATTCAAAATTCTTGTTCTTATCTCGGTATCCTCTGGAGCCGGCAGTCCTTGTACAAAAAAAAAATCAATCACGTAGACATATCAGGAGTGAATATTTTCGGCTTAATGTTCTCGCAATTTCTACTGACAATCTTTGCAAAAATCATGCAATCTTTCCTTACTTTTCTTTTTAAGGTTTAAAAATTGCCATCTTGTGTTGAAAAGAACATTTCTCCCCCAATTTTTTTTCCGAAATAAGACAGTTTCCTCGAAAAACAGGCTTTCTAGGAAGTATGTAATTTGCAACATTTCGTGTTCACTAGGACCAAATTTTCCGAGCAACAGACATTTTCTTTTCACCCAAGAATGTAGCAGAATTAACGGCAAAAATACGATGCAAAAGTTACCTCCCCCTCAGGACTGGACTTAAATTCGCCAATTGAATTTATTACTGAATCCTGAGAAAAAGAATTTGCATGGCCTTGTTCGTTTTCCTTTATTACCCTTAAAAAACCGAATGTTTTTTCGGACCGTTCGTTTTGTATCTCAGAGCTATCCTGGTCCAAACGTTGTTCATCTCGCCGTTCGTTTTGTATCTCAGAGCTATCCTGGTCCAAACGTTGTTCATCTAGCCGTTCGTTTTGTTTCTCAAAGCTATCCTGGTCCAAAGGTTTTCCAACTAGCCGTTCGTTTTGTTTCTCAGAGCTTTCCTGGTACAAACGTTGTTCATCTAGCCGTTCGTTTTGTTTCTCAAAGATATCCTGGTCCAAATATTGTTCATCTTGCCGTTCGTTTTGTATCTCAGAACTTTCCTGGTCCAAAAGTTGTTCATCTAGCCGTTCGTTTTTTTTTTCTCCAAGCTTTCCTGGTCAAAATATTGACCATCTAGCTGTTCGTTTTGTATCTCAGCTTTCCTGGTCCAAACGTTGTTCATCTAGCCGTTAGTTTTGTTTCTCTGTGATTCTCATTAATTCCAACATGGTTTCATTAAGATCCTCCATGATTCTTTATAGAGGCAGCATTTAACAAAGCAACCAGACAAAATTCTTGTTTGTTTCTACGCGTCCAACATGGAATTAATCCGATATTCAGTAGTCGCCAAATAATTTCTTGCTATATGTCTATAATGTTTTTACCCTCGAATCCCCGGCCCGTGTTTGTATTAAAATTCAAATTTTTCGTTTCCCAATATTGGTATCCGCTTTAAATTTTAAATTCCTCGTCGCCCAACGTTGTATCATGAAATCGATAAGTCGATACACATATAAAAATTAATACTAATTTGTTCCGAGAATAACACGATACTAACTGTCGAAAACACAGTCTACTGAAAAATCGTTTAATATCACTTCAGTTCAACTTTGCTATTTACCCGAAGCCTCCCCACAAGTTGGGATGTGGCGCTATGCCAGTTTTTAACGTGGCTCGTGGGCAAGGGCAAAAATATCCCTTAGACCCGGTATACACAGCGTCGGGTTTGTCCACCTCCCCAAACTAGACTGTCCATCGCCATAGACTCATCTGGGTTCCTCCCTACCAAGAACAGAGATATGGCACAAGGTCGGTTTTTTAACGTGCATGCGACATTCCTAGCGCGTACACACAGGAAAGAAGTTTCCCGTAGGCTCTGTATACCTCTGCATCCATGAGCTTGCCCTTCGGCATAGCTTCGTCTGGATTGCTCTCCGCCCGGAGGCAGAGAGGTCGACTAGAAGTTTTGTTCCACTTCGGTTTTTATCCAAAGTCTCCCCACAAGTCGGAATGTGGCACAAGGCTGTTTTTTAGCGTGGGGCATTCTGAGCTCGTAGGATCGGTCAAGAATTCCCCGTAGACCTTGTATGCACGGGGTCGAGTTTGTCTACCACCGCAGCCAAGTGCCTGGTCTGGATTGCTCTCCGTCCGAGGGCAGAGAGGTCGACTAGAAGTTTTGTTCCACTTCGGTTTTTACCCAAAGTCTCCCCACAAGTCGGAATTGTGGCATAAAGCTGTTTTTCTTTTTTTTAACGTGGGGCATTCTGAGCCCGTAGGCTCGGGCAAGAATTCCCCGTAGACCTTGTATGCACGGGATCGGGTTTGTCTAGTTCCCCAGACGAGAACTCTGCCTTTCGGCATAGCCTCGTCTGGATTGCTCTCCGCCCGGAGGCAGAGAGGACGACAAGAATTTCTATTCAACTCTCACTCTCTCAATAAGAGAGCATGCTATTTATCCTTTTAGATCAGTCCAAATCGTGGGGGGTGCACCGCTACTCCACAACAATATTATTTAATGAATACATCTGAATATATATATATATCAATTTATCATATGTATATGTTGTATTATATTTACATATTAATATGCTTATATATAAATATATATTCTTGCAGAAGTACAAGTAGAAATTTAACGAATAAAACGCCGACAAACTTTTTTGCCGTTGATAAAAAACCAGACGACATGCGTTGAACGGATATCATAATTCGTTGAAAAAAGGCACCACTATCCTACCTAGACTTAACCCATTTTCGAACGTAACTCATAATTGATACAACAATAGTTAATAAAAAAAGAACACGCTACCGCCCCTGTCTAAATGATTGGATTTCTCTGTATCCTTGGAAACAAAAATTATGAGTGTATGTGCTTTTAAAACTCAGTAAATTTTAAAATTATTCCAAAATTCGCTTGAAGATGAAACAGAACTAATGCTTTTAGTTCAATGTCACTGAATTTGAAGTTTTTGTTTTCTGTTTGGGAAACATGGTAATTCTTGTGTAGCAATGGAACCATATTTTTAAATCAGTTAATTTATAATATTTATGCTCTGTAAATTTACATTGAGCACTGTTTTGTAAAAATAAAAATATTAATAAGAACACCGGATGACATATATTACTGTTCTTCCTTTTTTTACTATTAAATCTATATATATATATATATATGTGTGTGTGTGTGTGTGTGTGTGTGTGTGTGTGTGTGTGTGTGTGTGTGTGTGTGTGTGTGTGTCCACATCGCATACAAACATGCTAATATTTATATGCATTATTCAATTACAACGTAATAACGTTCAATAGTTATCAAAGGACAAGTCTGGGGCTCGTGATTTTTCAGTTTATCTTTTTGTGATTGAAAGATTACGAAACTCAGCCTTTTAAAAGTATTAATCGTTATTTCTTCCAATTTAAAACAATTACAACTCTAGTCTAATGTGCAATTTATTAGCAGAAATTCTATTAAATTTGATATACGTTAAATCATTATTTTAGGTAGATAATTTGCTTGTGTTAATAGCCATTGTTTTTATATATCTACATCGAAATACGTACACACACATGCTGATATATAAATATGCGGAGATAGATAGATAGATAGATAGACAAGAACAAACTGAAATAGATAAAAAAGAACAAACTGAGATAGATAGATAGATAGATAGATAGATAGATAAGAACAAAATTAAATAGACAGTCAGATAGATAGATAGATAGATATATAAGAACAAACTGAGATAGATAGATATGAACAGACTGAGATAGATAGATAGATAGATAGATAGATAGATAGATAGACAAGAACAAACTGAAATAGATAAAAAAGAACAAACTGAGATAGATAGATAGATAGATAGATAGATAAGAACAAAATTAAATAGACAATCAGATAGATAGATAGATAGATAGATAGATAGATAGATATATAAGAACAAACTGAGATAGATAGATATGAACAGACTGAGATAGATAGATAGATAGATAGATAGATAGATAGATAGATAGATAGATAGATAGATAGGAACAAAATTAAATAGACAGTCAGATAGATAGATAGATAGATAGATAGATAAGAACAAAATTAAATAGACAGTCAGATAGATAGATAGATAGATAGATAGATAGATAGATAAGAACAAACTGAAATAGATAGATAGATAGATAGATAGATAAGAACAAACTTAGATAGATAGATAGATAGATAGATAGATATGAAAAGACATGGACAGACACGAACAGGCATGGATAGATAGATATCAATAAAGATAGATAGACTGATAGACTGATATATGAATAGGAACAGACTGGGATAGATGAATAGATATTGTTGCAGCATACCTACGGACGGTAATGGGTATGTCCCCGTTCACATAAATACAGTAGACAGTAGTAAATACTGTATGTTGGTCTGCAGTTGATGATTCGTCTCCAGCTGTGCTGGTCAAACTCTCCGCCTCCGGTCAGAGAGGATCCCCAGACGAGGCTATGTCGAAGGGCAGAGTCTCGTCTTCAAAAACATCTACCCGAACACTTTTTATACGGGGTATACGAGAAATCTTTGACCGAGACTATGGGCTCGGATACCCCACATTAAATTCGGCCTTGTGCCACATCTGACCGCGTGGGGCGGTTGGTAGATATCCTGCAGTCGGAGATTTGTCTCCAGCTGTGTTGTTCAGTCTCTCTGCCTCCGGACAGAGAGGATCCTCAGACGAGGCTATGTCGAAGGGCAGAGTCTCGTCTCGGGAAACAGCTACCCGGCCCCGTTTTTATACGGGATCTACTGCGAATTTTTGGGCGAGCCTACGGGCTCGGGTACCTCACATTAAATTCGGGCTTCTGGCATATCTGACCGCATGGGACGGTTGGTAGCTATACTGCAGTTGGAGATTCAGTGCGGAATTCACTTGACTCACTTTTAACAGTTGACTACTTTTTCTACGCGCCGCTGGCGAATCTTATATGTGTTGTTCTTGTCCTAAGTATTATCGTTCCTTACCGACCTTCGTTTGATTATTCTATTCAGTAACCTTCCCTAGGTTGCAACAATTATAGTATATAAGAGCGCTAATTATAGTAAAGCCAACTACATAAAATTAAATAAAACATTAGTTGACCTAGAATATTATCCTAAATTTTTAAAGATTACTGGCTAGTGCAAACATTTTATAAACATACACATGCACGTTATATTCGTTTAGTAATTTCTACGGATATGTTCGTTAAAAATGTTTAAATTTCTCAAACATCATAAAAACACTCACCTCTGTGTTAAAAATGATTTTCTGTGATATTTTAAACTAAAAGTAAGTAATATTTGTTTCAAATCAAATTAAATAAACTCTAAATCAGTTAATCTTTCTCAAATAAATTTTAGAAAGAGAATATTTTATTTTTGAAAGATTTTTTTTTCATAAAAGAATTTGGTAAGAACTGTTACAGTAATACCATCAAGTCCACATACTTTGTGGGGATCCAGATTAGAGATTTTTTGCAGGCAAAACATTCTGCTTTATCTGTAGAAGATGTTAGCACCTCAAATTTATTGAAGAGAGGAGTTATAGAAAACTCTTATTTAATACTCTATTATAAAGCTCCCAGAGATGTTACGATAAATAAATAGATAGATAGATAGATAGATAGATAGATAGATAGATAGATAGATAGATAGATAGATAATTAAAGCCATTTATATTTAATATCACATCATTATTACACGAGCAGAGTTGACTATTCGATTATTTTTTTCCTTAATATTTGTTTATATTTAAAAAAAAAAAAATGTATTCGCTTATGGGTCGCCAGATGCGGAAACTTAAACGTAGCATGTAATGAGTTTTTGTTTAACGATGGTGCAGCCATTTCAGACTGATTACCAACATGGCTCCTGACTGCTAGTTAACAACAATCGACAAGGTGCAAAGACGAAATTTTAACATGTCCGCGCGGCTTCTTCGGACACTCATGAGTTGTTCCTTCCAATGGGCAGATGGCGTGTAGAGATATCATCAAAGAAAAACTATTTACTGATGGAAACTGTGCAAGAACTCATTACGTGCAACGCCATGTTTTCCGACATATCACACAGCGAGAAATTACTCCGCCATACAATTAAGGCATCCGGCACTAAAGTGTAAAAGACAAAGGTTTTCATTTCGGACTAATATAGTCAATTCCCTTTGCTGTCTGCCGGTGAAAAACCAAAAATATTATCTTCGTGAGTTATTTGGATATTTTATTCTTCTTTTCAATAGAGCATATTGTTCAGTCAGTTCGTCAGCATCCCTCAGATTAATTGTGTCTGTAAGTAAAAAATTGCGCTGTTAGCAATCATCCTCAGCAGGAGCAGCAGAATCAACAGCAGTAGCTTCATCAGTGCCGTGACTGCGCCGCTGAACAACTAGCTCGACCTTTCTGCATAGCTGAGCTGAAATACTGGGAGGTATTCAGCCATTCATCGATTCTGACTTGACGACGGCTGCCTAACGAAGGTACAACGGGTTGTCGATAAAAAGCGTTTCCATTTTGTCTCATTTCTGCACTTTTGTTCGGATTCTATGTCATACTAATACACACAGATAGATAGATAGATAGATAGATAGATAGATAGATAGATAGATAGATATGAGTAGACTGAGATAGGTAGATATGAACCAAGATAGATAGATAGATAGATAGATAGATAGATAGATAGATAGATAATGGGCACACTGAGATAAATAGATATGAACATAGATAGATAGATAGATAGATAGATAGATAGATAGATAGATAGATAGATAGATAGGAGCAGACTGAGATAGGTAAAATGAACAGATAGATAGATAAGGGCAGACTGAGATAGATAAGGGCAGAGTGAGATAGATAGATAGATAGATAGATTGATAGATAGATTGATAGATAGATAGATAGATATTAACAGAGATGAATTTTAATGATTTTTAAATATCCATAAATGGATTTAGTATTATAAAAAATTGTTGTGGTACGATCCACCTAATTTACATAGTGGAGTACCGACCGATATAAATATGGGTTGGTACCGGAAGACGTTGGGAGAAGGAAGAAGAGATCGAATCGAGAGACTCTGCCCGACTGCGATTGTCAACCCATTATACAGAAACAGTCTTCCCAAGAATATACCAAAACTAACTGTAAATATTGTGTACCTTTTCCTTGTTCAATACATTTTGTTGACGTACATTTTGTGTTGTATTATTATTATTCCATGCTTATCCAAGCTTCAACAAAAATACATTAATATATATATATATATATATATATATATAGCGAACTTCTTTCTGAGTGGCAGTGTCAAACCACAGATCGTTCGTCTATTTTCGTCACGGAATAAGGTTTTCTCGCACATATATATACATATGCACACGCGTTCACACACCTATCCGTCTCTTTTGTTTTTTCTGTTGTTGTTTTTTGCATATATATATATATATATATATATATATATATATATATATATAATATATATTTGAATACATATATATATATATATTACATATATATATATATGTAAGCAAATGTAAATGGATATAGATCCGACAGAATGAAGAAAATTTGGAAAAAACAAACCAAAAATCCTTAAATGCAATTATGTTGTTTAAAATGAATGAAATGTCGACGTCTGACGTTTCGGTTTAAAAAACCTTCTTCAGGACAATATTCATTAAAATACAATTCAGTTCAATTTGACAAAGACGATGGACATAAACAACAAGTCTTATCCAAAACAGATAACTGAAAATTTTAAAAATGATCAGCTTTCCGTTTAGCATGGTCACGTTGTCGTCACATGGGCGACGCTTTCAAAACGTATTCCTAAAATTTTTGATTATTTTGAATGAAAAAGAAAATTGAAAAGAATTCTATTAGGATCTAAAATTTTTATGTGTATGCTTGTCGAGCATTAATCTCGCTAAAAAAGGGGAAATATTAAAGAAGCCAGGTCTAGTATTCACCGTATATTTTAGATCCTAATAGAAACAACATAATTGCATTTAAGGATTTTTGTTTGTTTTTTCCAAATTTTCATATATATATATATATAAATACATGAATTATTCACACAAAACTAATGCAAAGGTTAATGATTTTAAATGGCGAGACATCCATCTCGCAAACAATTCAAATAGTACACAAAAACCTTAGATCCGTTATGAATGAATTGATCCTTGTTCATATAAATTTATGCCGTATTAGTTGTTATTTTACACAAGCTTTCGTCTGTTCATACAGACATCTTCAGGTATATAATAGATGTTGTTCTTGTTTTTTTCTCTTAGTAATAAGAGGACATCGAAAATATATGTGTATTGTATCCGAAATGCTATTGAAAATGAGATATTGGTTTTGAACGCGCCAATGCAACGCTGAGTTTGATTTTTGAATTTCTTTTTTTAAAATGTTTGCACCAAATATGGTAATGAACAAATTATTTTACTGGTAAATTTTACTGTCAAAGTGGCATGAACTATATTGTTCAATAATTACAGTAATGTCGCACTTATTAACCAAAAGTCGCACATGGATCGGTTATTTAAATTACAATAAACGTGCAATCAATTTAGTTTTGTGTGAATAATTCATGTATTTGTAAATTGATTGCATGTTTATTGTAATATATATATATATATATATATATATATATATATATATAAGAATGAGTAGAATAAAAATCTACATACGTATATATACACGTATATAGACTTACACGTACGTATAAATAAGTGTTATAAATACAGTGCTCAGTGTTATGAAACAGTGCTATAAGTATATATTAATGAATATACATATATCCAGCATCGATAACACGACCCCGAGTCGTGCTATCGCCGTTTTATTATACAATGGATAAATTGTTGCCTAAATTACGCAAAAATGAAAATAACACAGACATCTCATTTTAACAGATATATTTACCAAAATTACACAAAATTATCCTGAAAATACTTCATCTTGAAATACTTTATTAAATTTATTCAATAAAATCGCCATTGGCTTCAATCACGACCTTCAGACGACTTCGGAATCTCCTGCAACCCTTCTGAACGGTCTCCTTGTTGAAGTTGGCGGAGCCTGCCATAATCATGACCTTCAGTTCATCTTTTGTGTTAAAGGTGTTTTGTTGGTCTACCACTCAAATGTGCCCCCACACATAATAATCGGGGGGTGCAGTCTGGGGAATTAGGTGGGGCCAGATGTAAAGGTTGATGTGGTCGCAGAAATTGTTTTACAATCATGACTGTGTTCTCCTGCTTGTGTCACATGCAGAGTCCTGTTGCTAGACATCGAACCTTCCAGCAATCGCTTTCTTGGTCCAAGACAGCATTACCTATACAAGACACTTGATGAAGGCGCATGTATTTAGTGTGAGGCACTCACCAACAAATTCGGGGGATCTTTTCTTATCAGAATAAGTTTTCCGAACTACCGTACCTTCGTAATCACCATTAGACTCATCCAATTCTTTCTTAATCCTCTGGACTGTCTCCAGATTGACACCGAAACACTGTGAAATATTCGTATCAGAGCTTTCGGTGCGAATGCCAAGCAGTACAGCATGCCATTTTCCAAATATCTGGCGAGAGTGATTTGCATCATGATGCTCTTTTCCTCACAAATGGTACCCAACTGATCCTACTCTGCTGTGCAGTCAACAAAATCAAAAACAAACAACACGCATGCGCGAAATTAAAAATATAAAATAGTGACAATTTACCCATCGCACCATATATATATATATATATATATATATATATATATATATATATATATATATATATAGTTAAATTCCCAGATGAATTCTGTGGACAAGGCAGATTGATATCAAATGACAATTGAAAAAAAAAATCTTACATTTTGCCGACGCGTTTCGTATTCCGACTTTTTCAAGGCAAAAATGAAATCAAAATGTCTTGTCCACAGAATTTTTTTTTTGTTTTTTTCTTTTCTGTTTAACTGGTCTAGGAGAAGGACAACTCTGAATTCAAAACCTGCGGAGGGTCGTTTGGGGACCTTGTGGCACTTAGTGCACCAAGTCTCTGAATTCGGCCCTTCAAAAAGTGTGGATGGTCCTGGACGAAACCTTCACCACTATAATCAAATCTCATGTGCTGTTGTCGGGCTGTCAGTTTCCAAGGAACTGATCTGCTTGACCCTCATACGTCGAATTCGACGGGAGAGTCGAGTATATATATATATATATATATATATATATATATGTGTGTGTGTGTGTGTGTGTGTGTGTGTGTGTGTGTGTGTGTGTGTGTGTGTGTGTGTGCGTCACGTTCTCGTATGATAAGTGAAGTTAAGCAAACGAGACTCTGGCTGGTTAGTACCTAGATGACCTCTTGGAGAATTTTAGGTATATAGGTAGGTGCGCCTGTTTTTGTTTTTTTCTTTTCTGTTTAACGTTTCTTTTTCCTCTTTTCTCGGTATTTCTTTTGATTCCTTTATTTACTGATTCTCGGATTTTCTTCTTATTTTCTTTGGTCACTTTAAGTGCATTCCTTTGGCAACATGTGTGTTGCTAAGGTTTAAAAATGCAGGTTTTATCAATATTTTGCTTGGTATATCTAAGTACCCCCAAAGAAACGTGAAGGTTTAAAGTGCATTTTTCATATTAAATCTTTCTTGAAGCTTCCATTCTCGTCTTAATTTCAAGGTAATAGATTAAATTTAATGTTTCCAACAATATTTATGGTAAAATTACCAACAATACTGATTTATAGCACAATTACCAACAATTCATATTTATTGTAAAATAAACAACAATACCTCTTTATAGGAAAATTACCAACAATACATATTTATAGGAAAATAACCAATAAGACATTTTATTTGTAGTTGAAGGCATACAAATGCGTTCAAAATATGTTTAGTTGAAGCCATAAAATTGTGTACAAATTATTTAGATTTTTTTATAAAAATAACCTATAGTGGTGTTGATATGCCGCTAAACAAAATCAACCAACCAACAATGCATTAAGAATCTTTGGGGCACTCAAATTTTATTCTCAACATGGGGGTGGGTGGGTAGCATGACCTTGTAGCGGAGGTGGTGGTTGATTGTGATGGGAAGATATGCCTCTTTGTAATAAATACATTTTTTAATGATCGTGGTGCAAAGGTTAAAAACTTTTGGAATAAATAAGTTCAACACATGGAATACGTTTTATAAATATATTTATATTAGGAAACACCACAGAAAACGCGATAACTAAGGTTTGAAAGGATTTTTTTTTTTAATTTCCAATATGCAAAATACTTTGCTGTATATTTCAAATCGAATTTAAATTGTTTGGAGGGATTTTCTTTTTGAAATCGTTAAAATTGCTAACACTTAGTCAGATTATAGACTCTGTCTGTAACGGAGAGAGTTTGGGAAACACACACAAACGCACACACACACGTATATATATATATATATATATATTTTATTGAAATTGAAAATTTGAGTAAAGTAGATTTGAACTGCGAAATTAGATCAGAACAATTTTGTTTACTGATGGAAATCTGATCCAGCCCATTTGGAATTGGATCCGTGAAAAAGACAATGGAAATGATCGAAATAAATAAACTCACACTCTTTCGGTCCTGTCACTGGATCTAACCAACGCCTAACCCCGTTAAGGCAGTGGAGAACTTTCAGAGGGAAAATTAACAGGAGATAACTGATAACTGACATCCATCAAACATGGCACGTGGAACTAGAACAGTCTACCCCAGGGAGCGAAATAAAGGGTTCAGTTCGAAATTACAACCACCTGAAGAAGGCCGGAGCGTACAACGGCCGAAACGTTGTGATAAATATGGCGACAAAGATGAGGACAATAGTCCGAATAATGTAAATAATGTACATAATACCTCATCTCAGAAATATAAACAGACTCTGGTAATTTTTAATTTTCAATTTTATAGTAAAATTTAATATTAATTAGAATGATTTCTATTTTAGTCTAACCCTGACATTAAGGCATTAATTATTATAAGCAAGATTCATTGTCAAGTTTTTTTTTAATTCTCATATACTTGTATTTTGATTGGTCATTGCAGCTTATGTAACAGCGTTTCCCCTAGCGAGGAGTGTTTGATTGAATTGAACCTTTTAAAACTCTTTATTCTACATTCAACACCATATCTTGATAAAGCACTAGAAGTATGGAAACAAAATGGCTATTTTTGTAGAGAATTTATAACATATTTATGTTATAATTTCCGAATAAATTAAATTTGCTCTACTTTTTATTGAGCACTCTTTTAAAAATAGTATTTTTTTTTTTTTTGGTTATTGGAATTTATTCCGTATACATCAATCCTATACTTGTATATATATATATATATATATATATATATATATATATATATATATATATATAGAATAACCTAGAGATCCAAAATTTTATAAAAAATATACATAGATATCCGTCAATAATTAAGCGAGGCTACGCTGGGCAAACGTTAATAGTTAATAATGAGTTCGCGTCCCCACATGGTGCACAATACTAACATCGACCTTCAACAACCCAACAAGGGCGGCTATGTCGTGAAATCAACCAGCCTAACATAATCTACCTGTAGGGAATGTACAATACCTGACAGTAGCAAGGTGTACTCTTTTTCGGCGCGTGATGACCTGCCTCGCTTTACGATACAACGATAAACACCCTCGTTCTGGAAGCTGGCTTTCTCAATCGTCACTACCCGGTTCAAGTCGGAGAATTTGACATTGTCCGCCATAGTACCATCAACTTTCTCCCAGGAATAGACCATTGGATTTCTGGAATTTAATAAAGAAAGGAACGAAATAATAAAACGGTGAGAAACGGAATATAATGTTTTTAAAAAAAATAGTGATATCACTTCAATAGATATCCCGATCACGCGACCCATAGCCCATTAGGGTCATACGGATATCATGTGTACAGCAGCCGCAGTAGCAGTGGTGTTACCTAGGCAAGATGATATGACGGAGTTCTAGCCTTTCCAGGCTGGTTTAGAATTCCTGGTTTTTCCTTTCCACTCAAGGCTATAGCATCCAGTCTGTCCTGATGTTTTACTCATAGCTAGCAGGGATATGAATGGATTGATACATTTCCCAAGGTCTCAATCCGTATGTGAATTGAATCTAATGAACTAGATTGAAATCAAACCCGACTTATCTATCCATTACTCCACAATTATTCCTGCAATAGTTATAAGAAGTCCTTACCGCTGCTTAAACAGGCAAACTAACATTTATTAGTATTGTATTACTAACCAATTAAAGAAATCTTAATATGAAATTGTGTGGTATTGGATTTAAGTAATTATTTGACCAACAATATTAAATATATTACTTGAAAATTTCTTAGATGAAACATTGTCAATTATTATTCATTTTGGACTAGTATTTCTTTCATCTTATTTCTCTTGCTTTTTATTCGAGGCTTATTCTTTATTTCTCATCTGCCCTGCTTACTTAAATATGCTTTATTACTAGTAGTATTAATAGGATTCAAATTTTTTAGATGAAGCATTGTCAATTATTATTCATTTTGGACTAGTATTTCTTTCATCTTATTTCTCTTGCTTTTTATTCAAGGCTTATTCTTTATTTCTCATCTGCCCTGCTTACTTAAATATGCTTTATTACTAGTAGTATTAATAGGATTCAAATTTCTTAGATGAAACATTGTCAATTATTATTCATTTTGGACTAGTATTTCTTTCATCTTATTTCTCTTGCTTTTTATTCAAGGCTTATTCTTTATTTCTCATCTGCCCTGCTTACTTAAATATGCTTTATTACTAGTAGTATTAATAAGGATTCGATTTTTTTTTAGAGGAAGCATTTTCAATTATTATTCATTTTGGACTAGTATTTCTTTCATCTTATTTCTCTTGCTTTTTATTCAAGGCTTATTCTTTACTTCTCATCTGCCCTGCTTACTTAAATATGCTTTATTACTAGTAGTATTAATAGGATTCGATTTTTTTAGAGGAAGCATTTTCAGTTATTATTCATTTTGGACTAGTATTTCTTTCATCTTATTTCTCTTGCTTTTTATTCAAGGCTTATTCTTTATTTCTCATCTGCCCTGCTTACTTAAATATGCTTTATTACTCGTAGTATGAATAGGATTCAAATTTCTTAGATGAAGTATTGTCAATTATTATTCATTTTGGGCTAGTATTTCTTTCATCTTATTTCTCTTGCTTTTTATTCAAGGCTTATTCTTTATTTCTCATCTGCCCTGCTTACTTAAATATGCTTTATTACTAGTAGTATGAATAGGATTCAAATTTCTTAGATGAAACATTCTCAATTATTATTCATTTTGGACTAGTATTTCTTTCATCTTATTTCTCTTGCTTTTTATTCAAGGCTTATTCTTTATTTCTCATCTGACCTGCTTACTTAAATATGCTGTATTACTGGTAGTATTAATAGTATTCAAATTTCTTAGATGAAGTATTGTCAATTATTATTCATTTTGGACTAGTATTTCTTTCATCTTATTTCTCTTGCTTTTTATTCAAGGCTTATTCTTTATTTCTCATCTGTCCTGCTTACTTAAATATGCTTTATTACTAGTAGTATTAATAGGATTCAATTTTTTAGATGAAACATTTTCAATTATTGTTCATTTTTGACTAGTATTTCTTTTATGTTGATAGAAGTTGATTTTTATCGAAGCTCCCAAATGGTCCTTTCTTTATCAAATTATCTGAGTGCAGCAATAAAATGTATCTGAAATTAAGATTGTTAACAACAACTGAATGGACAAACTAACAAAGTTTATTTATGACAGTCTCGTTCTTGCATCCCTGAGTGTACCTGAACTTTTCACATGCTGCTGATGTCTGTCTGAAATTTGTGTATTCCTAGCATACCAGGAATATTCAAATTCCATGTTGAAACCGTCTTTCGAGAAAACTGCTATCACCGTTGCCCGAGAAAACCTAAAGTTGCTACCATCGCAGAAATAGGGTATTCTGGGTTTTTTTTTTCTGTTTTAAGGTATTCATTGAAATATGGTGTACAATATGGCTAACGATCTCCATATAATATACGTTTTCTAACACAAAAACACTTCAATACAAATATTTTGGTTCTCCGGTCGAAAAAATGATAACTTCAATCCAATTTTAATAATTCTCCAATCCAAAACCTATTTTAATTCATTACTCCACATCCCCAAACCTTTTAGGCTTGTTAACTAGGCTCCCTGATCCAAAACTCATTAAATCCAATTATCTCGGTTGGGCGATCAAAAACCTATTCAATCTAGTTATCACGTATGCCCTATCGATTATCTAAGCTGTCGTATCCCAAAACTATTCGAGAGTATTATTACGACTGTCCAATCCAAAAACTGTTCAGTCGTATTATTCCAGCTGCTTAATCTAAAAGTTACTGAATTCGCTTACCACGGCTTCTTGATTCAAAAATGATTCCAATTACCTTGCTTCCTGATCCTAACACTATTCAACCCCATTATTCCAGCTGCCTGATCGAAAAAGTCTTCAATCAAATTATCGCAGTTGCCCGATCCGAAACCTATTCAATCCAATTATCTCGAGTGTAATATCCCAACACTTTTCAAACCAATTATTCCGGCTGCTTGATTCCAAAACTCTGCGAGGCCATTATCTTAACTGCCCTATCGGAAAATGATTCAATTACATTATTCCGGTTGACTGATCAAAAAAAGTTATTGAATCCAATTACCGCAGGTTCTTGATCCAAAAATGATTCTATCCCATTATCCGAATAATTATCCGGATAAAAGTAACTGTTATTCTGCCCCCCGAAATTCCCCAGTCTAATTATCGCAACAAAATCATACTCGATCCAATTACTCAGATTCTCCACTTCAAAACATCTTCAACCTCTGTGAGTTATACCGATTTTCCAAGCATAGCTTAGATGTGCCACAGGGCTGAAAGTAGGGGGAGGGTGACACCCTGTGAGAATCGAACTCACTACTCAGTCGTAATTGATCTAGCGAGTCAAGGTTGCCAACCATAACACCACCTTGAGGTGCCCTAACCTCTGTGAGTTATATGACGTCTTTGAATGGTTTCATTGTGAGCAATATAAACAATCCCTCCACCTTTGGCAGAGCCCCTCTAGTCGTGGCAGAATTTCATCCCTCCCCCCCTTGCCAGCATTCGAGGGCCTATTTGTGCCAGTAAGCTAATCAGTATGCAGTGACATAAACATCGAGCCGATCTCATTGTTCACGCGCGAGCGGGAAGAATTATACATAAGAAATTATGAGAGAAATCCAATCAGAGCGTTGATTACGGCCAAGACACTTGTAAATCCTTGATTGTAATCCAAATTCCCTTCGGGCACGTTCCTCAAGTAGGCTAATGGCAAGGGAAACAGGTGATTCGTTTAATCACTATGACGCCATCAATACAAACAATGTACGATTGGATAATCCTGAAGAGTGCTCAGTTTCTTTTAACCTTCGTTATATTGGCCATTTTTAATTCAGTTGCCGTCGGGATTTCCATTGTCCAAATGCCAGACGCAATCAAGGTCTTTATTCAAATGTATGCAATTTTGTTGGTTTTGGAGCAAGGCGATAAGCCGACATTTCTTTTTTTCACTAGAGTTCTACCGTAGATACTGTGGCGCCATTTCATCGAGACAAGAGTATGTGGGTGGGATCAGAAATAAACGTACATGTTCCAGGCAATTCCGTGTATAGCGTGAATATCTTGTTAATGATTTTATTATAGAAAAGTACTGGAATGAGGGGTGGAGAAAAGAATGATATTGGTCAAAAATTAATACAAGCATTAAGGACTATATATATATATATATATATATATATATATATATATATATATATATATATATATATATGAATTCATGCAAAAATACAAAATGTCGATACGTCCAAAAACCTACCTGCCAAAGGGCCTAAAAACTCAAACAAGAAAAAGAATGCGAAACTAAGAAAAAAGTGGAAACCAAAAAACAAACGCCTACATAAGCAGTAAAAACAATGCTCAACGCCCAGGCTATTCGGACACAACCAAAATACACATCATAGCCTAATAGATAGATAGATAGATAGATAGATAGATAGATAGATAGATAGATAGAAAGAGAGAGAATATCGTGAAATAGAGAGAAAGAGTAACAGTGAGATAGATAGATAGATAGATAGATAGATAGATAGATAGATAGATAGATAGAAACAGTGAAATAGATGGATAATTGAGAGACAGAATAATAGTGAAATAGAGAGGGAGTAACAGTGAAATAGATAGATAGATAGATAGATAGATAGATAGATAGATAGATAGATAGATATAGATAGATAGATAGATAGATAGATAGATAATGGGCATACTGAGATAAATAGATATGAACATAGATAGATAGATAGATAGATAGGAACAGTGAAATGGATAGATAGATAAATTGAAAGAGAGAGAATATCGTGAAATAGAGAGAGAGTAACAGTGAGATAGAGAGAGAGAGTAACAGTGAGATAGATAGATAGATAGATAGATAGATAGATAGATAGATAGATAGATAAGAATAGTGAAATAGATAAAGTGAGAGACAGAATAACAGTAAAATAGAATGAGAGTAACAATATATATATATATATATATATATATAGAACAGTACTCAAAAAAGTACTCAATGTAAATTTACAGAGCATAAATATCATAAATTAACTGATTTAAAATAGCGTTTTCTCGCTACACTGTAATAACCATGTTTTAAAAACTGAAGCTAAAAACTTCAAATTTAATTATAGTTCTGTTTCATCTTCAAGCCAATTTTGGAATAACTTATTTTAAAATTTACTGAGTTTTAAACGCACACATAAATTCATAATTTCCTGTTTCCAAGGATACAGAGAAATCCAATCATTCAGACAAGGGGCGGTAGCGTGTTCCTTTTTCTTAACTAGTGTTGTATCAATTATGCGTAACGTTCGAAAAAGCGGTTAAATTTAAATTAAAATTTTTTTTGTTAACGGCAAAAAGGTTTTCGTCATTTTTTTCGTACTTGGATACTTAAAGATCCTTTCTAGGGGTGTTTGGGTTAGAATACGTTTTATTTAACTACAATTTTAAAATATTTTTACTCTTAATTACTAATAGACTATATTTCTTTTTAAAACAAGTAAATGTTATAGAATTACTTAAATTATTTAAAATTACTTTTTCATATCAAATATAAGTATGTATATTACCAGCTCTCATTTTTTAATTTTATTTTTTAATTTTACTTTTTAAATATTATTTGAGGAAAATTTTTGACAATGACGGCAATTTCATTTCTCTGATTCAGTAAATTTTTATTTTTTATAAACTCAATAATATATAGTTTCTCTTGTATGCACAAAGGACATGGGTCATTTAATGACCTACATATTCTAGCTTTTCTTATTAATTTCCATTTTACTGTAGGTGTTTTATTGGATTCTTTTAAGTGCCAGAAATATTTTGAAAGGGATTTCTGATTTCTGTATTTATTTAACCTAAATGAAGTTTGATGATGATTGAATCTCTTTTTAAACTCATGACTTGTGCAACCTATAGAGATTTTTATGTTTTCGGGATTCTCAATAGATGAGATATTGCATTGGTATACTAATGATTCCGTGCGACATTTATTTTGTAGAGGACAGTTATGAGGTTTATATATATATATATATATATATATATATATATATATATATATATATATATATATATAAAAAAAAATCCGTGGTTAAGTAATCCAAGTAGATTTTATTAATATGAAATATTAAAACTGATCCACAAAAGAGAGCTCAATATATACATTTATTTTATTATAGAGTATATAATCGAATTAAAATCAATGAAACCTAAATAAATTACTCCATACATATGGCCATTTTTCCCGAGGACGGTATGACCATCTGTTTTGTCTTTCAATGTTTTTTTTTAACAATGAATTGCATCCTGTACAAGGCCCAAGAGCCACTCGAGGCAGAGGATTACAAAGTAAAAGGCACTACCCCAAACAAATTAATAATGCCATCAACACGCAAGGAGGCCACTGGAAATGAAAGAGAAGGAAAAGGTTTTAGAAGGAACCGGTAACCCAATCCTAAACAGGAAAGAAGGGATAAACCTCTACTCCAGTACAAAAAGCTGGGGAGGAGTGGGAACCGGGTGATAGGCGAACTGATATACTTCTGTTGTAAAAAAAAAGAAATAAATAATAAATAAAAGTTCAGAGTTTTAGGCGGATACGTTAGAAGGATAGAATTGAAGTAGACTTTAGACGGAACTGGAAATCCAGTCCTAAACAGAAAACAAGGGATAAAACTCTACTTTTGTTGAAAAGGCAGGGGAGGAGTAGAAACCGGGCGATAGGTGAACCAATTTACTCCTATTGTAAAAAAAAGGAAATAATAATATTAATAATAATAAATCTAGTTTGAACAACATCTCCTTCCTAATTTAGTTGCGAATCTTCACTATACGTCGTAAATCAATAATTACGTAACCTATTAATGAGAATAATATTTTTCAACAATCACCTTCCACATTTAGTTTGCTAATATTCAGGTTTCGTAGCGTGATCAAAAATTTCATAGTTTATTAATGAAGAGTGTATTTTCAACATAATCTCCTTCAGTTTAGTGGCTAATCTTTATCATACGTTGTACATCGATAATTACGTAAAGTGTTGCTGGCGAAACTTGAATTTGAATCACTATTCGGGTCACTATTCGAGCGAGTATTATCGAGCAGGTGCTATTTAGAGCAAGTGAAAAGTGTATTTTCAACATAATCTCCTTTATTTTAGGGGCTAATGTTCATCTTTCGTTGTACGTCAATAATCGGATCGCCAGTGAGCAAACGCAGGCAATCCCGTTATTGAATTAAGTAAACCACGTGACCATAGAGGAAATCGCATATAGGTAGGAAGTAGCTGATGACTAACGATCTGCATTTCTAGTCTATTCACTATTACTATTCGGATCACCATTTCTAGTCTATCCTCTTTTACTATACAGACTGCTATTCTCTACTCTATTCACTATACTATTTCTCTATTCGGATCACTGTACGGGTTACTATTCGAGCGAGTATTATCGAGCAAGTACTATTAGTGCGATTGGTATTCGAAGGCGTCTGACACCAGCATTGTTCAACGGCGTATTATGCGATTGCAACGGCATTGTTCAACGGCGTATCTGCGATTGCAAAGTTTCTACTACAACGAATATTACAAACGTGACAACGAGTGTTCGTTGACATCACAAAACTAATGATTAAAAAATTATTTTTCAACTTAATCTCATTCCTAATTTAGTTTACAAACATTCATTTTACGCAGATATAGTAATGACTAGATAGACTTATTATGATAACTGTATTTACTTCACACCTGGCTTACGGCCATATTACGATAAAACACCGGTTCCCGTACGAACACCGAAGTAAAGCAATGTCGAGCCTGATCAGTAACTAGATGGGTGACTGCTTGGGAATACCAGATGCTGTAAGCTTGGGTGTGCAGATGGTGTATTGAATAATGGTACGGAATTGAAAATCGAAGGTCCGGGTTCCAGTTGCCTTTGGGTTCTTTATATTCAATTCAGCGCAAATAGCCTTGGGAAAATGTGTGAATCCCCTTCATCTCCTCCCCAGCTATGGGTTAATTAGTAAGATTTGTATCACTAAACCATTATTATTTTTCCATACCCCGCCCCATAAAAATTATTACACTGTAAAAATATTGTCTAGTTTGAAATAATCCGCAAAGGTGGATAAGCCTTGAAAACGAATCAGTCAATATTTTATACAATGAATATTTTTAAAAATATATTTTTGTCAATGCACTTAATTCATGAGCAAATATTAAACTTACGTACGTATATCAATAAATCCGAAGACAATGATTAAAAAATTATATTTTCCAGTACAAATTTTTTACATAAGCACCTTTCTTGTTAATGCTCTTGATCCAGCGAAAAGTACTGACCCTATATAGGTACATTAATAAATACGTAGCCTTATGATGAAAACACACGAAATATTTGTTTTTCAACAGTTTTCTTTCTTGTCAATGCACTTAATCCACTCCTTCTACATACATGATATAGATCGAACGTTCAATACAACGAACATTTCGGATCAATAATCAGTTAATAATGCGTGTTAGGCTGCTGATTTATTGATCCACCTTGTAAACATACAGGGGTCATTCGTCCCTTTACTCCTACACACACACGCGCGCGCATGCGCGTTAAACGAGAAAAACGGAGCTTACGATTCTGAATTTGATCCTTGGGCAAAGCATTCGAGCCGAACTCTACGGCCAAGCATTGGCGGTGAAGGATAAACGGCGATGAAGTCATTTTGTATTTCTGGACCCCAACTCACTTTTGGCGCTGGGAAAGAAAGAATAAAAAAAATAATTACACCAGTTACAAAGACAAAAGCAATCAACAAATCGTTTCAACAGATATTTTTTCTTAGTCTTTTTTTTTTCAAGGCGAATATTTTCAGCGTTTTCTTCAACATTTTTACATTATAAAATCTCTCTCTCTCTCTCTCTCTATATATATATATATATATATATATATATATATATATATATATATATATATTGAAATTCATATTTTTCCCTCCATTGGCATTTCCTCCATAATATCAATTAAATTTACACGTTTATTTTTATATCTTTATAACTTGATAAGGCATGGACGAAACCGGGTTTTTTTTAGCTTTTAAAACATACCTTAAAATGCCATAGATAGATAACTATTAAGAGTGATAGATAGATAGATAGATAGATAGATAGATAGATAGATAATGAATAAACTGAAATAGATAGGTAGATAGACAGATAAAAAATTGACAGATAGATTTAAACAGAATAAATAGATAGAAACAGACTAAAGTAGATAGATAGATAGGAACTGATTAAAATAGATACATACATAGATAATGAATAAACTGAAACAGATAGATATGTAATCGTGCAACACCCGACTCGGTCGTCCAAGACTTCCAACACCGCAGCTGGTTGCTGAAGTGACCGCTTCAATCCCGAGCTAACCTTATCCCACGTTGTGATTTAAGGCTGATCATAAGGCAGCCAAGATCGTATCGTCGCAGCTCTCTTCGTGCTGGGCTGGTCCAAGCAGTGCGATGACGTACAGGAAAAAAATAATACTCTAATAAATTAAACAAAAGTAATTACTTTTTTTTTATATCAGTCTTTTGTACAATAATTGATTTATATCGGAGTTGGCGTGCAATTAATTATCTACCCAGCCCGCATCTAAAAATCTGTTTTGCTATTGTTGGTATGTTTCGGCACAAGACTGAAGTCGGAGGCTTTCGACGGCAGATAATCACGTGGGCCTCTCTCCTGTCTCTGGTCTCGTCTCCGTCTCTTCTGCTTCTCTTCTCTCTTCTGTCGAATTTGCTTCGCGCATTCGTATTTATGGACATTCGCCCAAACTGGCGAAGTAAGAGAATTCGATAATTCTGGGGAATTCCCTTCTTCCACTCTCTCATATTATTACCTCTCACTAAGTCCCCTCAGTGAGCGTGGGTGGCTTATCCGCCTCATTTCAACTCAACTTTCAACCAGGGGAATCAACTCCAAATGTGTTGCTTACGAAAAATGAAATTTTCGCTTTACAGCTTGCATTTGCAGCTGTGAGTCAATCAACATTGCCCCCCACTAACTCTGGGTCACTTTTCCATTGTGCAAACTGCTCGAAATACAATTCAAGTCGTTTATGGGGGAATTAAATCCTCAATTGTTCCCTCGAGAGTTTGCTATTAACCCTTCTAGTTTCAATGTCTCTCAGCACATTCTATTGATAAGAAAACTTTCTTGGGTCTTATTTTATCGCGGTAACAACAAATAGTATCATAGATACATAGATAGATAGATATGAATAGACTGGGATATATAGATATGAACAGAAATAGATAGATAGATAGATAGATAGATAGATAGATAGATAGATAGATAGATAGATAGATATGAATGGACTGGGATAGATAGATAGATAGATAGATAGATAGATAGATAGATAGATAGATAGATAGAATGAATATGAATGGACTGAGATAGATAGATAGATATGAATAGACTTAGATATGAATAGACTAGGATAGATAGATATGAGTGAACTGGGATAGATAGATAGATAGATAGATAGATAGATAGATAGTGCTCTATATATTAACACTTATATAAGACGTAGTATTTATCGCCACGCCTTCTCAAATTGAATATGATTTGAGTGACCGTACAGACAAACCTATTTTCATAGATGTTTAACATTTACGGAGTCACCTTTGGAACATGAGGTGATTCTTCATGTCTTTTGGCGGGACAGAGAGTAAATGGAAACCTCTTGAAATCCTGGTGTCAGTCCCGCTTTTCTTATTAAGCTGCTTCCATCCAGTCTCGCTTGGACCCAAAAGAGTCTTCGCGCCCTCGTTGATG